ATTACCCACACTAGGGTTGAGCCACAACCCTAGCTTATGGGTCTAGCTACTCATAATTAAAGAAGAAAAGCAAGAAATAGATGAAGAAAAACTCATATTAATTAATCACTAAGTTAAATACAAAGATTCAATGATTAAATGTAGCTAAAATTGCCCAAAATGGCTTAGAAAGTTGAACCCACGAGTGCAGCTGCTTAATTACAATATCTGATACCCTAAAAATGGAAAAAGAAGCTATTTATACTAGGCTGAAAAATCTGGACAAAAATGCCTCTGCGGGGTTAGTGCGGACCGCACAAACTGGACCGCGGTCCGCGCTAGGGCTTTGGCCCTCAAAAACAGCTCTCTAAATCTTAGCATCGCGGACCGCAGAGAATGGGCTGCGGCCACGGAGGCTTCTAGGCGGTACGCATAAAATGGACTGCGGACCGCATTGTCTTGGAACTCTGAAAATGGCAACTCTCTGATTCTTGGCTCCGCGGACCGCACTAAATCGACTGCGGCCGCATTGCCTTCAGTGCATACCGCACAAAACCTAGTGCGGCCGCACTGCCTCTTAGCCTCGAAATTAGCCTCTCTGAATCTCCTAGTGCGGACCGCACAAAATGGTGTGCGGCCGCACTAGGCCTGTTTAGCCTGAGCTTGTCTTGTCTTTGGCATTTGTGCAAGTTTCACTCCGTTCGAGCTGATCTTTGCATCTCGTCACTTTGATGATCAAACCTGCAATCAAGCACAAGTTGTGAGCCATTTGGGACTATTTTGTATGAATTTCGAATCAAAGCATAAGCAAGAAGGAGTATAAAATGCGTCAAAATCCCTAGTTATCAACTCCCCCAAACTTAAGCAAACAAAATAAGACCCACCCCTTAAGAGACTGTCCAAGAAAAATTTCAGTTGTCCTAAAGTGACCTCAACTAGCCTTAATTGGGACTAACAATTGCCCTCAATACACATGAATCATTAACACATTTACTCTTTTAAAATACCATGGATCAAGTGCAACACAAGAGCATCAAGAATTGACTCAACACATCAAACTCTTTTCTATTACTTTGGTCATTGTGGAACCCAAACTCACACATCCTCAACTCTCCCTAAGAAATCCTCACCTGTAAGATAGAGGCACTCAGAACGAGGATAATGAAATTCACCCATCTCTCTCAAGAAAAAGCCACAAGTCTGGCTCTAGGTACCATATGCTTGCCCCTTATGTGAGTATCCACTAATGTAAGCTTCATTCAACTCAAGATCATATAGGACTTGTGGGGAGACATTGTGAAGGCTTTTGGTTCAGGGTAGGAAATGCTTTGGTCTAAGTAGGTTCCATCTTCCCTTAAGCACTTCTTTTGATTCATTTGGCATCCATTCACTTGACTCTTTGAGTCATTTCACTTCTTTCTGAGGGGTTAGAGAGACACATTGTCACTCTTTCTTATGCATTTCAGACCTTTTATCCTTTTTCATCTTTCCACACCTTTCATTCTTTGCTTTTCTTTGAATCCCTTTTTATTCTTTTTCACATTGAACTTTCTTTTTGTCTTTTTGCTTTTCTTTCTTTTTCATTGCCTTTCCTTTTCTTCATTTTTGTACCTTTTTACCACTTTGTTGCAATCCTCGTCTCTCCCCCCAAACTTATACTTTTGCCATGTGCTAAAGAAAAGATTGGGTGCCAAGAGAAGGTATCTTTTAAAACGGGTATAGGCTTGTATCATGGTTATTGAAGGAAAAAGGTCTAAGGCTCAAAAAGGTTGACTAGGGATCTTATCATTGGTAGGTTATGGAATTGTTTGAGCTAACATTTGGACCAAGGAGAGCCTATAATCATGTCTCAAGTCAAAATTCACTTAGGATTTTGCCTCAACAAACAGTCAGGGCAAGTTCTAGACCAATGGCTCGGGACATGGACTTGCAATTCGATTACTCACCACACAAGCAATGGGATTGCTAAAGACACAGAGTCGGGGGCCCACAACAACCTTAGATTAGATTTAAGCTCACAATGGTCCCAAAAAAACCACTTGATGATTATCGGCCAACACAAGAGTCTCAAGGTCACGACTTTCACCATCCTTAACACAACAAATTGTCTTTGACCATAAGATCAAAGGAAAATGTGCTAGGCCCAAGTGAAGCTTTGCTCGAGGCACCCTTAACTATTAACTACCAAAAACAAAAAGAAAAACGGACTCAAACCTTTAAGAAGGTTGTCACGCCATCTATCATCGGGAAGAGCCACCCGGTTCACACAACACTCCACCTTTGGAAGAACCGTGGCATTAAGAAAACCAAAGGCTTATTGCAAATTTCAAAACAAGAAGCTACGAATCACAAATAAGAAGCTAAAAAGGAAAAATTTGCGGAAAGTAAAATGAATATATACAAGATGGAATTTGTCGAATATACAATAGATGGATGAATATCTACAATGTACCATAACTTTATATACAGACCAAAAGTAAAATAAAAGTGCGAGAAATGTAGCTAAATGTTAAAAATATATACAGACCAAAGATGAAAAATCAAGAAAGCATAAAAATTGTTAAATATATGCAATCATCCAAAATGTAGGGCCTACCCTCTCAAAAGAAAGCTGGCATTCTCCCCAATGCCAACTAGTGTAAATAAAGCATCAAAAAGATAGAGGTATAAGGATATAAGGAAACTCCCTATGGCATGTCTATCTGCATAGGCTAATGTGTGGTCCCTGGGTCCTCTCTATGCTCGGGAACCTCAGACTGGTTCCCTGTGTCCTGCTGCTCTGCTGCTGGAACCTGGGCCTGGACCTGGACAGGCTCCTGAGGTTGTGCACCCTGTGGCTGACTGGAGGATGTCTCATGTGGGTCTGCTAGGTGGATGACTGCATCACCAGCTCTAGGGATCATCCTTCTCCTCTTGGGAGGCCTCTGTAACTGCTCTGGCTGGGGATGCTCTGCTGGTGCCGGGTCCTGGAGTAGTAAATCTAAAGGCAGGTGATCTGCCTTCAATCTGTCAACATCCGCTCTAAGCTCCTTCACGGACTCCTTGGAGGCCCGAGTCTTCCTCAGCTTCTTATGCTCCCTAGCAAGCTCCTTGAGAGCCTTGCTCTGTGAATCAACTGCCTCGGCAAGCTTTTTCTGGTTGTCGAGGATTTTCTTCTGATTGTCTAACATCTCCTTAAAAGCATCCTCTATCGACTATGGAACCTGTGGAGCTGGAGGAGCTGACTGGGCCTCAACAGTGGTGGTCAAAATGGACAACTTGGATGAGGCAGTTTGCATCCGGTTGTTGATAGTCATAAGTGCCTGGCTCAATCTGTGGGCAGTAATAGGATGGGCCCGGGAAGATGGAATCTCCGGGTCTACTGAAGTGGATGGGCCAGCAGGAATGGCTGTGGATGTAGATGGACCGGGAGGGATATCTGTGGAAGTGGAGGTAGGCTCAGCAGGAGCCACTACCACAACTGGCTCTTCAGACTGGCCAATTGTAGTAGTAGTTGCACCCTTGAAGCTCTTGCTCTTGGGGTTGTCATCCCCCTGCATGCTGTACCAGGAAAAAGGGGCCTTCGCTTTGACTTTGACATCGAAGGACCTCTTGTCCACCTTCAAGTCCCGGAAGTACATAGTGAGGGTACTGGGGAACGGATAGTTTCTGTCATGCTCGGCTCCCACAATTGAGATAATCCTCGACATCACATTCCTCACATTGATTGGGTACCCCGCCATGATCGAAGCTACCAAAACAGTCCGGGAAAGAGGAAGGGTGTTGTCATGTGTCGTGGGGTCCAACCTGCTACATACAAAAGTCTCCCACCCCCGTGCCTCGAAGTTCAAACTCAGTCTCAAAATCTTGACCCAGCAGTCAACCAGTCGGGGGTAGTACCTGGGATTACCAGGTACTGTGCTAGCCAGGGACGAACCTCCTCACCCATTTCCAACTTTGCCATGTACAAGGTCTCATCCTCCTCATTGAAGCCAAGGTATTCGTTGAGGTACTTCCCTTCAAATAACACTTTCAGATTCCGAACCTTGGTCACTTTGGAGCCCTTTTTGATGTGGGCTACATTGTAGTAAAACTCTTTGACCATGTGTTCGTTGGCATCCACACACTCATCTAGAAAATGTTCCCAGCCCACTCTTGTACTAAACTACCTCAGTACGTCGGGATTGTGAGGTAGCAGGTCTTTGTCAACAAAACTTCGCTCCGGGATCAACTTTCTCACCGGCCACCACTCCCGGAATTTGTGATATGCCACCTCGCTAACAAATCTATCTTGCCAAACCTCCAGCTTTCTGGTTCTAGCAATGCCCCCTACCTGAGGCTCACCTCCTTCTCCTACCTCTTGTTCTCCCCCAACTTCCTCCTCAGCACCCACTTCACCCTCTCCAGATAATGAAGCTGTGGGAGAGGTGGAGTATTCCCCACTACCTGCTGCTGAGCCCTCAGACGACTCAGAAATAACGGTTGTTGGTGCTTGGGCAGTGGGTGATGGTGGAGGAGTGTCTCGTAGCCTAAACCTCTCCGTCCAGTCAGGGATGTGTGTTGGTACTGAGTCAGAGGAAATCTCCCGGGATGGCTCATACTCACTCCCTGAGGACTGGAAAGCAGCCCTATCAACAGCTTTTATCAGCTTTCTTGTCTTTTTAATGCTTTCCCGGACTTGGGGAGTGAGTTTTATCATTTTCTATTTCCCTCCCCGGGAAGATTCTCCTTTGCCTGGTTGCTTACCTCGTTGTCTCACCATTGTCTGCAATCATAGTTCAATCAGCTTGTTAGTATCAGTGTAAGCAGTTAAGAACAAAGTTGCAGAAGCAGGAAAGAAAAGTTGCAGACAGGTTGCAGAATACTACAAGAAAAATGGTTATTAGGGACCAAGATTTAGCGACCAGCATAAAATATGGTCCCAAATGGGACACTTATAGGGATGAGATTATTTTCTGGTCCTTAATTTGTATTTTTATTTTTGAGGGAACGAAAGGGCACATAGACCCAGTCGCTAATAAAAAAATTTCAGCAGAGGGCACTCTAAAATTTTCTACCAAAGGCGCGAAAAAAAAAAGTTTTCTTTTCTCTCTCTCACAAAAAATCAGTAAAGACCTAAACCGAGCAAAAATCCCAAATTGCACCCGGTCTTCTCTCTCGCTCAAATCCCAAATTTCAGCCGCTGGTCACTCAAATCCCAAACTTCAGCCACCAGATTCCGATCTCCACTACTTACACAACTCTATTTTACTACTGATTTTGTGCTTCTGTTGTTCTGATCTTGGCCTATAAGTAGTAGCAGCTAAAAAGAATTCTTGTTTATCACCCCGTAAACTTCAGGAAGGTAATCCATTGTGCTTTTCTTTGTTATTCTCTTAAGTTTTAGTCGTGTTTTAGTGCACATTGCTGAGAAAATCCTATTTTTTTTTACTTTTCTCTCTTCAAAATACTAAGAAAGGTACTATTCCTTTTAGATATTCTTATTTATCTAAATCATTCATGTCTTTCGTATAATTCTTCCTTCAGTTTCTTTTCTTTCTTTGTGACCGAGGTTCTGCGATAAGATTTCTTTGTTTGTTTGAATACTGATTGTTATGTGAGTATATATTGGGTTGGAGGGCAAAGATCGAGGAGGTCTTCAAGGGTTGAGGTTTTCACTGTCGGGTTGCGTTTACAAAGTTTTACGGAGACTTGGTTGAAGGGTTAATGATATGTTGTGTGTTTAATTTATTGTGTGGTTTTATTTGTTTTGATTTTTCTTATAAATAGTTGAAGTGATTGAACATTTTTGACCCGTTAGATACTCTAGAAACTTCAGATTGAGCTTTTTCTTTCTCAAGTAGGCCTTCATTTTCACGACTACAACAATGACTTTATAACAGTATTTTGGTAGGCGACAAAGTGCTTGGTAAATATTATTAGAACTTGGTTCTCTGGTTGCTTGACCTATAGCTACAACTAGTTGCCATTGTTGTAGTCATGAATTTATATGCACTATTACCGTACTGTCCAATGTTCAGTATAGTAGGAGTCTAAGAATGGTCGATGACTTGTGCACGCAACATGTAATGGATGTCTTTCATCTTGATTAAATTTGCATATATTGTTTGATGTTGAATTTTCTTTTTATAGGCATATATCAGTTGGCGATCTTGCTCTTAACTTCCCCTATTAAGAAAAATAAATGAAACTTAAAGAGATGTGCTCAACTTGTGGCTACTGTAACTGTATCTTTTTTCTTTTCTTTTCTCTATTGTCGTTGCTGCTGCTATTGTAGTTACACAAGAAAAAAGATTATAAAATAAAGGAACTTGATAATCAATGTGATGGCTCATTTAATTATTTAGTTTTCATCTACAGTGGGGTTCATCAACTAAAATTATGGTCAGTTCTCTTGTGTGCATTAGTTGAACAAGGATAATGTATGTTAGACACTTCTGTTTTCCTTTTCTTTTAAATCTAATTTTTATATACCTCTAAGGTTATGGCACAACTTGTTGATAATCGACTTGATGAAGCCTACTCAATCGAGGTGCTTAAGTTTTTGGATTATGCTTTTAGAAGAACAGGAGAATTGTATAAATACGATATCCATGTGTCAAATGTCCTCTGATAATCAGGTGGAATCATACCTTTAGAGTGCTCTTTGTGCTAATCAAAGTATACCAACACGATCAGATTCTACCAAGTCTGCTGCTCAAGGATTGCAAACTAATATTCTATTTTCTCCATTTACTTATCAAGTTATGAAACAGTTGAACCAATTATGGTTTTTCAAATTTATTATGTTTTTAATTTGTAAAACTGAATTTTGATGCTATAGTCATTAGTATTGTGGTTTTCTTGAAGTAGGTGCTATAGCAAAAGGACGAGGGCAAGGGCTTAGGCTTAAGTACGCTTTAGGGGTGTCTGAAAATGAGGTGGGATCCTTCCGTAAGAGTGCTCTTTATTCTAGCATGTCTACTGCAAAAGGTCTGGGAACGACAAATAAAAACTCCTTGGTTCTTGAGAAAGAGCATATGCAAACTAATGCTCTGTTTTCTTCATCTGCTAAGCAAGTTGTGCAATCCACCCAAACATCTGAACCAAATATGGTTTCTCAAATCTATTATGTTATTTATTTGTACAACTGAATTTTAATGTTGAAGTTTTTATTAATATAATTTTCTTGTACCAGGTTACATAATGAAGGAAAAGGATTGAGGGCATAGATCTATGGGCTATTTTGGATTTTCTAGAAATGAAGGGGGATCTTCTCATAAGAGTGCTCTTTATGCTAGTCAAAATATTCCACTACCACCTTCTAATAGTAAAAGATTATATTCTACCATGTCTACTACAAAATGAATGCGAGCGACGAATATAAGACCTCTAGTTCTGGAGAAAGAGCATGTGCAAACTGATGTTCCTTTTTCTCTATCAACTAATCGAGTTGTGCAATCCACCCAAACAATTGAACCAAGTTTGTTTTCTCAAGTCTAATTGTATCATAGATTTGTTATTTGTACAATAGTTCTAGCATTCCTAAATTATGCAAATGTAGGTTCATGTACTATTAAAAAGTCAAAAGAGTTCGAGGAAGTAACAAGCGCAAAGAAGTTGCATCACTTGAAGTGGGACAAAAGCTGAAAGTAACATTTTATAATAATCGAACAGTTTAAAAGAATGGCAATCTATTTGAGAGGTACTTGGGAAAATTAGTTTGTGATTGTAATATGTGTCCATTGGGAGTATTATCATGGGATGACATTAAGGAGGAACAGTTAAATCACATGTCGGCAGCTGTTGTGGTAACTAGATCGATTATTCGTTTTTTCTATCTTGGTCTCCTTTTTCTTGCTATTTTTGTTGCTTTTATTATCCTTGTGGTCTAATTTTTTTAGTTGCAAATTGAATATGATTGGTAGAATTAACTTATTAAGACACCGATTTACAGGGACCAGGTCATAATTATCTTTAACGGCCAGATTAGTCGTCCTTAAATATTTACGGCACTGGAAAAATTGATCGCACAATTTTCATTAAGGACCAGAATATTTGTCGCAAAATGTTCTTTAGGGACCAGATGCCAAGCCCTACAATCTTCAATTAGGGACCAGAATTATGGTCTCTAATGGGTTTTAGGGACCAGAAAATATTCCGGTCACTAAGGAGTATTAACGACCAATTCACTTTCCTCGTCGTTAATTGTCATTAGCATCGGAGGCTATTGCGACGGTTAGCCACCAGAATTTTCTTGTCGCTATTTGTCTTTAGGGACCAAAAATCGACTTTTAGGGACCATATTTCCCTTCGCTATTGTCAGTTTTTCTTGTAGTGGAAGTTACCCAGTACGGACCGCACAAAATCAACCGCGGCCGCACTGCTTGAGGTTCAGCAATCAGGAGGTTATCAATGCGGTCCGCACAAAATGGTAGTGCGGACCGCACTAGGGCACCGCGGACCGCACAAAAACGACCGCGGTCCGCACTGAGTGCCCAGTTGTGGCACTAAATTAGGGTTCCATGTATTTTGATTTTGGGTCCAATTTTTCACCTAAGTAGTGTCTCTACATGATTACCCATTGATTTTAACTATCTATGTCTATTTTAACCTAAATATTAACAACCCTAACCTACTCAATTGAAGAAAATAAGGGAAGAAAAGAATGAAAAACAAGAAAAAAGAAAATTAAGAGAAAATTAACAAGATTGATCAATTAAAAAGCAAGTAATGGTACCAGATGTGAGAGTTAATGAAGAATAACAAGTCCAAGCAGTTGATTGTAAGCAAAATGGATGATGCACAGTGATTTTTAGGGTTTCGAGAGTTAAAGGTGCGAAAAGGGTAAAAGGAGGGCCTCAGGCCCTATTTATAGAAAAGGACCTGGGGCCCAGTCTCACCAACCAGTGCGGACTGCACAAAATGGACCGCGGTCCGCACTGCACAGCCTTGTTCAAGTTTAACTAAGCAACCCACTACGGTCCGCACAAAATGGACTGCGGCCGCAGTAGGCCACTGCCGACCGCACAAAATGGTGTGAGGCCGCAGTGGCAAACTTCAGAGAGATTTCACATCACCCTTTACCAGTGCGGTCCGCACAGAATGGTAGTACGGCCGCACTGGCAACTTCAGAGACCTGTGCATTTTTTTAACTGTGTCCTGCACTACATTAACTCAATCCTGTAACATCTCACAACCAGTTAGCCCAAAAATCAATCCTAGACTACAATGAAATCAAATAAAAACAAGACTAAAAACACATGGGTTGCCTCCCAAGAAGCGCCTGATTTAACGTCACGGCACGACGCGTGTTACCATCCAATCATTTGAAATGAACAACAGCCACCACATGGCTATCATCAAACTTCCCCAAATAGTGCTTGACTCTATGCCCATTCACTCTAAAAACTTTCCCACTTTTGTTCTTCAAATCAAGAGCACCAAACGGGGTCACACAAACTACTTCAAATGGTCCGCTACACTTTGACTTTAGCTTTCTCGGGAACAACCTTAGTCGAGAATTGAATAAGAGCACCAAATCCCCCACCTTGAACTCCTTGCCCCGAGTATATTTGTCATGAAGGTATTTCATTTTATCCTTATGCAGGGACGAACTAGAGTAGGCACGGAACCTAAATTCATCAAGCTCATTGAGTTGCTCCACCCGAAGATTAGCAGCTATATCCCATTCAAGATTCAACTTCTTCAAGGCCCACATGGCCTTATGCTCCAACTCCACTGGTAAATGACATGCTTTCCCAAACGCCAGCCGGTACGGTGACATACCAATTGGAGTCTTGTAAGCGGTCCGGTAAGCCTATAGAGGATCATCTAACTTTTTAGACCAATCGGTCCAATTGGCATTGATGGTTTTGGACAAATTGTTCTTGATCTCCATGTTGGACACTTCTACCTAGCCACCTGCTTGAGGATGATAAGGCGTAGACACCTTGTGGTTGACACCATACTTGGAAAGCAAGGCATTAAAAGCTCTATAACAAAAATGCGATCCTCCATCACTAATAATTGCCCGAGGCGTACCAAACCTTGTGAAAATGCTCTTCTTTAGAAATGCCACCACACTCCTAGCTTCATTGTTGGGCAAGGCAACGGCCTCAACCCATTTTGAGACATAATCAACCGCTACAAGAATGTAAGTGTTGCCACACGAGCTTACAAAAGGGCCCATAAAATCGATACCCCATGCATCAAAGATATTAACTTTGAGAATGGTGTTTAGAGGCATCTCATCTTTCTTGGAAATCCCGCCCGCTCGTGGACATTAATCACACCTTTTTACTAGATCACTTGCATCTTTGAACAAGGTTGGCCAATAAAAAGCACAACTTAGAACTTTCGAAGCCGTCCTCGACCCTCCATGATGACCACCATATGGGGAGGAATGACAAGCCTCTAGGATGCTAAATTGCTCCTCCTCAGGTACACACCTATGGATCACTCTGTCGGTGCAAATCTTGAACAAGTATGGCACATCCCAATAGAAGTCCAGACTATCCCGTTTGAGCTTCTTCCTTTGGTTAGAAGAGAGCTCACACGGGATGATGCCAATCACAAGGAAATTAGCAATGTCCGCAAACCATGGCATATCACTCATCGACACAGAAAGTAGTTGCTCATCGGGGAATGTGTCATTGATCTCTAGGCCATCACACAGCCTTCCTTCCTCCTCCAAGTGGGACAAATGATCCGCCACTTGGTTTTCGCTACCTTTCCGGTCCACAATCTCCAAACCAAACTCTTGAAGTAATAAGACCCATCGCATCAGTCTAGCTTTGGAGTCTTTCTTTGTCATCAGATATCTAAGAGCTGCATGATCGGTGTGCACTACGACTTTGGCCCCCATAAGATATGGCCGAAATTTTTCCATGGCGAACACAATAGCCAATAATTCCTTCTCAGTCACCGTGTAGTTCCTTTGAGCCTCGTTCATTGTCTTGCTCACATAGTACACCGGATGAAACATTTTGTTCACTCTTTGACCCAAAACTGCCCCAACTGCAACATCACTCGCGTCGCACATGAGCTCGAAAGGCAAGCTCCAATTGGGTGCGGTAATGATCGGGGTGGTGGTCAACTTATGCTTGAGAAGTTCAAAGGCTTGCATACATCTCTCATCAAACACGAACTTTGTATCCTTTTCTAGCGACTTGCATAAGGGATTCACTACCTTCGAGAAGTCCTTGATAAATCTCCGATAGAACCCCGCATGCCCAAGAAAACTCCTCGCCCCCTTGACAGACGTGGGGGGGGGGGGGGGGAAGCCTTGAAATCACCTCTATCTTGGCTTTGTCAACCTCAATACCATTCTTTGAAATTTTATGGCCCAAAACTATGCCCTCTTCAACCATGAAGTGGCATTTTTTCCAATTTAGCACAAGATTGGTGTTTTCACACCGGGCCAACACTCTATCCAAATTGTTCAAACACTCATCGAATGAATCTCCCACAACACTGAAGTCTTCCATGAACACTTCTAAAATATCTTCCACCATATCGGTGAAAATGGCCATCATACACCGTTGGAAAGTTGTGGTGCATTGCACAACCCAAAGGGCATCCGAGAGAAAGCAAAGGTGCCATATGGACAAGTAAAGGTTGTCTTCTCCTGATCCTCGGGAGCTATCAAAATTTGATTGTACCCTGAATAACCGTCCAAGAAACAATAGAAGGCACGCCCAGCAAGGCGATCAAGCATCTAGTCCAGGAAAGGCAATGGGAAGTGATCCTTGCGGGTCACCTTGTTCAGCTTGCGGTAGTCCATGCACACCCTCCATCCTGTCATTGTCCGGGTTGGGATAAGTTCATTATTGGCATTGGTCACCATGGTTATACCACCCTTCTTCGACACACATTGTACCGGAGAAGTCCATGAGCTGTCAGAGATAGAATACACCACACCGGCATCTAACCACTTGATCATCTCTTTTTTCACAACTTCTTGCATTACCTCGTTCAACCTCCTTTGATGTTCCAAGGAGGGTTTTGCATCATCTTCCAGAATGATCTTATGTATACAGAATGCGGGGCTTATTCCCCCGAATATCAGCTAGAGTCCATCCAATTGCCTTTTTCCGCTTTTTGAGCACCGCCAATGTGGCGTCAACCTGCATGTTAGTAAGACAAGAGGAAAGAATAATTGGTAAAGTTGAATTAGAGCCCAAGAATTCATACCTGAGGTATGGAGGTAATGGCTTCAACTCCAACACCGGGGGTTCCTCAATTGAAGGCTTTGTTGGAGGCGTCTTTCTATTTTCAAGATCCAAAGAAAGTTTCTTAGGCTCATAAGAATAAGAGCCCATTCCATGTAAAGCATTCACACACTCCACTCGGCCCGCATCATCATTGACATCAAGATTCAACAATACGTCCTCCAAAGGGTCCTC